AATGGAACACTTTATTTGTGCGAATGTCAACAGTCTTTGTTTAATAATTTGTTAGCCTTCCTCCATCTCTTCCTAAACCAGCCCGTGTTAGCAGCTTTTGGATGACTAACAATTCTGTGACTAACAATGGCTGTCTTCAAAGAGGGAGTAGAGACAAAGCTGGATAATACAACAACACATTATTAAAAGCTTGAATACAATGGCTTTTATGTAAAATGAACAGAGGTGACAGGCGAGGCACTATCTCCATTTATGTGAGCTGTGTTCGAAAAACGAAAAGCTTTCTAATCAAGAATAATGACTCTGTCCTCAGACAAATGGACCAGAGAAAGTAAGAAGAACAGCAAAAGAAGACGTCTGCAGAATGCTGTCGTATCAGACGTAATCAGCTGTAGCACAGAGGGTTTTAGGCACGCTTACAGAAAGGGTGCATTTTCATTTCAATTAGGAATCTTACTGCAAAGATATGACACATTTGTAATCATTTAGGTCAAGTGATGGGAGCTTCCATCAGTGATTCACACTGCCCTCCTTCTACAGGAGCCCATGCAGAGTCCGATGTGTTGCTTTATGCATAATTGAGGCATCACAATTAAGACTAGATAACTTTTAAATATTTGCTGTGATAAAAATATGTTTACATCATCCCAAAACTGTGTCCTTAAAGCTAACAGAAAAGAAAACAACTCATTGTTACCCCCTTGTTGTCTAACTTCAGATCTCCTACCTATTTGAATCTATCAGTATCTACTCTTAGTCAGAGGTCGCAAAAGTACACACATTCTTTACTCAAGTAGAAATACAGATACCTGTGTAAAAAAAGACTTTTTAAAAGTAGAAGTACTTATTTACTTAAAGTAAAAGTGAAAAAGTACAGGCTCTGAAATTAGTCAAAGTATAAAAGTAAGAAGTACTCTCTTTGTTTCTCTGAAGCACATTTCTACTGACCGTTTTTTTGTAAGGCTAAATGAAACTTCAAACAGGGTCAAGTCTCCCTCTCTAGTCTGTTTCGTCTTGTTGTGTCTGTCATGTGTGATATGTACCGTTCCTGATGGAAGTGGCGCTCTTTCAAATGATTAGAATATCGCTCAATTTGGCAAACAAACCAAGGTTCCTCTTCAGCAATGTAGCCAGGCTGACAGAGACACAGCTCTATTGAGCCACGTATCCCAATAACCCTCAGTAGCAACAACTTTATGAGCTTCTTTTTTGATAAAATTATTACTATTAGAGACAAAATTAATAATCAAATGCCCTCAACAGGTATCGCTGTCTCTCCAAGTTCAGGAACTTTAACAAATTTAAAATCAGATATATATTTAGACTGTTTGTCTGCTATTGATCTTCATCAACTAACTTCAATAATTTCTACATTGAAGCCGTCGTCTGTTAGACCCCATCCCAACAAATAAGTCTTAATGGATATGATCAATCTTTCTTTATTGTCAGGATATGTACCACAGTCCTTTAAAGTAGCTGTAATTAAACCCCTTCTTAAAAAGCCCACTCTCGACCCAGGGGTTTTAGCCA